CGGTTCCCTGTTCCCCGCTAAAAACGTGGTCTTCCAAACAGTCATAAAATAGGGGAAAGTGGCGTAAAGAAATGCATTCATTTTATCAGGGAATAATAATAATAATTACGGCGACCAGCTTTCCCCTGCGATCACTCTCCTAACACGCTCCCAAAGTTGGCAACAAAAAACATCGTGCCAAACAGCAACACACACACGCCGGCAATATCTTTAAGATGCTCATCGTACCTCTTCTCGCCATTCCTTTAAAAGGGAGAAATGAAGAAAGGGGCCGCCAGTACCAATAACACATCAAGCTAGAAGAACCACCACATCACCAACCAACACCCTCCCCCATGTGTACTTTGACAGCCAACAATTAGCACGGCAATAAAAGGAGTCGTGAGGCCTCCCCCACCACGAGATTGAAGAAACTCGTCCAATTCGCAATGCTTCCACACAACAAGGGATAATTAAAATGTGTGAACACCGTCGCAAGGAATCAAACTGCACCCAATCGGGGCCAATGATTCGCCGTTGCGAGTGGACAACCTAGCGCTAACTCGCATCACACAAAAGGGGACAAAAACGAGACAAAGTTCGTTGACACAACCGCCACAAGGGCGCCGACAATTTATTATCCATATGCATGTTGCCTTGCTCTCCTTGGTGCTTATTTAAAAAGCGTTATCCGCCCCCCAATTCTTCCACGAGCGGGCCAAAAGCCACCCAAAGCGTTGAATTATACTCACAACAGACAGGGAAATCCGACCGGCGGTGACGGACCACAAAAATCCCCCCCTCCATGCGATTTGTTCATATTTGGGCAGAGAATGTACGCCAGCAAAAATGGTGTGCACACCATCCTGCTAGCGTCTTCCCACAACCCAAATTGTGTGCGTATAGGAACTTTCGGGGCGCAATCGCAACAGTGGGAGAGCAGGAGCCAAAAGGAATCCAAAGAGAGACGGCAGGAAATTTGGCCCCGTCGCAGCCCAACGTCGTTACGAGCGGGTGAGAATTACGAGCAAAAAAGTGACATGGCCCACACAACCGACTACAAAATAACAGAAAGAAAAGGGCATGCAGCGACAAAGAAAAGGATGGCGACAAAAGGAGACACACAGGCCAGTCAAATAATAAAAATAAAACGCAAAGCTCTGCGCAATCAACAGAAATGAACAACAAACCGCGAATTCCATTCCCCTCACTCTATGCGTCCGTTGTTTTGCCGCGCATCTCGTTTTCTCCCCCCTTGCAGACCGGCACCAACGAGCCAACGCCTTTAAAAAAAACTCAAAACAAAAGAAACAGACAAAAAATTTATTTCATTGTATCTTCTCGCTTTATCAGAAACTCAAACAAACAACAACACACAAACACAATTGTAGAATCGCATGCGGCCCCTGCGCTCAATCCATAACCCAATACCAGGTCAGTAAACACTGGAGATCAATATATTTATATACCACAAAGGGGGAGGAAGGGCTATTCAAAAAGAGAAAAACACCACTGTTGAAAGACCAGAAACGCGGTATTTTTATCTGCTAACGACTCGTCACACAAAGCTATAATGGAAAAAAATACAAAAAGGGGTTTAAGAAACAGACCCGCACCCTTGGGGGGTTGTTGTCCGAGCCTCATGTACACATGCAATTAGGCCCAAACACATGGTTACATGCTCATAGGCCACGGGTCAACCAACGGGTGGCACGCACTTCAATTATAACACATATAAAACTCCGCATAGTCCCATCAAACCTCTTGTACACACGCGTTTATTTTCTTTACACGTTTTTTTTTCTTTTTTCTTCGGCTGAGTTTTTCATTTTTGAGAGTAGGAAATATTAAATTTTTATTTCCTGCTGTTTGATTGTAATCAACGGTGCAGGATTTTGTAAATCGTTTGTTTATTTTCAATTATTATAATTATATTTGTTTTCTTCATTTTTTATTACTGCGGACTTAATGTATCTATAGCACTCCTTTGTCTTCCTCGTCACCCCTCCACGTGAGCGGAGTGGTGGGAAAACCCTCATTTCTCCCTATTTTTTTTCTCTTCCCCGCCTCTCTTCTCCTCCTCCGGTCACGTTAACTCTTAACCCTCCTAATACATGGAGGGAACAAAGGCAGCAGTGTTCTTTTGTGGGCATCATTCAACGTCATTGCGATGCCACAGTAAAAGGCAATGGCGCCGCAGATCATTCCCTCGTAACCGGCGACCTGCAACATAACGCTGCTATTCGCCCATAAAGCAATGCTCTGAGTCAAGATGAAGAGAAACCCTGTAAAGAAAACCATAGTAACTGCAAGCGGCTCGCAAAGAGAAGACAAAAATCCGATAAAAAGAATAAGTGCCCACAAAAAGGCGTTGATACCGATCAATCCATCCTCCGCCCCTTGCAGAGATGCATAAGGCGTGCCCGCGTTCTTCTGCGGTAAAATCCACGCCATAGCCGTCGCCAGCCAAAAGGCACCAAAGCTAGTGGAAATCGTACAGCCAAACGTGTTGCCACGAACAAATTCCATGACGCCCGCAATCAGTTGCGTGAGACCGCCGTACATTATGACAACTCCTGCCGTCGTTGTGTTCATCGCGAATAGCTTCGCAGTGGACGTATTAACCAAGAGGGTGGTTGTGCCAAAGGCGAGCAACCCAAGCGCGCCGGGATTACCAAGCTTCTGCCGATAATCATTCACAACTGCAAGGCTCTCCGGGGTCATCTCCCTGGCCTCATCCCCATTTCTTGTCGGAGTACAATCGTCATACCTCACAGGCCCAGTGATATCAGCCATGTTATCATTCACATTGCCCCGCACGCACATTTCCTCTCTTGTTTGCATCTTTTTAGTGACTGCACGCAGCGGCTGTGAAGTGGGCACAACAGAGAAAAAAAATAGAGAATATTCGCCTGGGCCGCTGGCCGGATCCTGGAATTGTCTAAGAAAAATCAAACAAGACTAAAAAAAGGGCGTAAGTGGAGAGGCACCAAATTCCCCTCAATGCCTTCTTCCAATATATATATATATATATATTCGGATGACCACTCAAGTGGCCTTTTGCACTTTGTTAGGATCAGAAATATTATTGCCTACAAAGTGGCAGACTTTGGGGTGTCTCCCAGCCACAAGACCCCGCCACGAGGAGGCGGGAAAGCAAAAAATAAAAATACACAAATAATTTAGTCCTGCCAATGTCGGTTCCCTGTTCCCGCTAAAGTCGTGGTCTTCCAAACAGCCATAAAATAGGGGAAAGTGGCGTAAAGAAATGCATTCATTTTATCAGGGAATAATAATAATAATTAAGGCGACCAGCTTTCCCCTGCGATCACTCTCCTAACACGCTCCTAAAGGTGGCAACAAAAAACATCGTGCCAAACAGCAACACACACACGCCGGCAATATCTTTAAGATGCTCATCGTACCTCTTCTCGCCATTCCTTTAAAAGGGAGAAATGAAGAAAGAGGCCGCCAGTACCAATAACACATCAAGCTAAAAAAACCACCACATCACCAACCAACACCCTCCCCCATGTGTACTTTGACAGCCAACAATTAGCACGGCAATAAAAGGAGTCGTGAGGCCTCCCCCACCACGAGATTGAAGAAACTCGTCCAATTCGCAATGCTTCCACACAACAAGGGATAATTAAAATGTGTGAACACCGTCGCAAGGAATCAAACTGCACCCAATCGGGGCCAATGATTCGCCGTTGCGAGTGGACAACCTAGCGCTAACTCGCATCACACAAAAGGGGACAAAAACGAGACAAAGTTCGTTGACACAACCGCCACAAGGGCGCCGACAATTTATTATCCATATGCATGTTGCCTTGCTCTCCTTGGTGCTTATTTAAAAAGCGTTATCCGCCCCCCAATTCTTCCACGAGCGGGCCAAAAGCCACCCAAAGCGTTGAATTATACTCACAACAGACAGGGAAATCCGACCGGCGGTGACGGAACACGAAAATCCCCCTCTCCATGCGATTTGTTCATATTTAAGCAAAGAGTGTACGTCAGCAAAAATAGTGTGCACACCATCCTGCCAGCGTCTTCCCACAACCCAAGTAGTGTGCGTAGAGGAACTTTCGGGGTGCAATCGCAACAGTGGGAGAGCAGGAGCCAAAAAGAATCCAAATAGAGACGGCAGGAAATTTGGCCCCGTCACAGCCCAACGTCGTTACGAGCGGGTGGGAATTACGAGCAAAAAAGTGACATGGCCCACACAACCGACTACAACATAACAGAAAGAAAAGGGCATGCAGCGACAACGAAAAGGATGGCGACAAAAGAGAAAGCGTAAAGGAGAAACACAGGCCAGTCAAATAATGAAAATACAACACAAAGCTTTGCGCAATCAACAGAAATGAACAACAAAACGCGAATTCCATTCCCCTCAGTCTATGCGTCCGTCGTTTTGCCGCGTATCTCGTTTTCTCCCCCCTTGCAGACCAGCACCAACGAGCCAATCCCCTTTAAAAAAACTCAAAACAAAAGAAACAGACAAAGAAACTTATTTCATTGTATCTTCCCGCGTTATCAGAAACTCAAACAAACAACAACACACAAACACAATTGTAGAATCGCATGCGGCCCCTGCGCTCAATCCATAACCCAATACCAGGTCAGTAAACACTGGAGATCAATATATTTATATACCACAAAGGGGGAGGAAGGGCTATTCAAAAAGAGAAAAACACCACTGTTGAAAGACCAGAAACGCGGTATTTTTATCTGCTAACGACTCGTCACACAAAGCTATAATGGAAAAAAATACAAAAAGGGGTTTAAAAAACAGACCCGCACCCTTGGGGGGTTGTTGTCTGAGCCTCATGTACACATGCAATTAGGCCCAAACACATGGTTACATGCTCATAGGCCACGGGTCAACCAACGGGTGGCACGCACTTCAATTATAACACATATAAAACTCCGCATAGTCCCATCAAACCTCTTGTACACACGCGTTTATTTAATTTTTTTTGTTGTTGTTGTTTTCGTCACCTTTTATGTTTCCTTTTCGCTCGTTCTCTTCGCAACCAATCCACATCACCCAAATTTCCCCTTTTACCGTCCCTCTTTTCCCCCAACTACTGAAGCACACACACACACGCGGAGAGAAAAAATAAATAAATAAATAGATCCAAATGCCTTACATGAGGCCACAAAAGCAGCCAGAGCATTGGTTTCTCTCAATGTTCTTCTGGTTGCTTGTACCAACTAAAACGCGTGCGGATTTTGCTTGCAAAAGTTCTTTTTGTTCGGCGGCTACAAGTTTCATTTGATTCTTCTTTAGATCTAGTATACGCTTTGCTTCCGCCTCTTCAGCGTTTCGGTAGCCGCATTCCACAAGTACTGTGCCAAACATATAATTCCGCAACATGTTCACCTTTGCATGATTTTGAAGAAGAGACCGTAGATCATGCTCGGCCCTCCCTAATTTGTTCTCATAGTAGTGGTAATCCCGCGTTGTGGGAAAGATACTCCTGTCCACAGTCGCGTTCGTTAGGGAGGAGGTGGCACTTCGGAACAAGGGACTGTCCGTGTCCTCAACCCACTCATTCTCGCAACCACCCTCCCCAGTACCTGGAAGGAATATCTCCTTTGGTAGCACTATGTTCAGCGTACTGCAACACTCCGCCACGAACTGCAAGTGTTTCTCCCGATCCCTTTTAATAAACAGTTGAAGATGGGGTGACTGCGACACACGAAAAGCCACTTCTCGTTGTGCCATACCTATTGCATCATTGCCAAAACTCCCCCCCAACTGCAGTGCACGCAGTGACGGATGCTCAATGGCATCTTTTGCCGACAAGCGTGTGGCGGGATTAATATCAAGCAAACACCTTAACAAGTGACGCAGACTCAAGGGTGAAATCTCCTCCGTTGCACTGCTATCAGGCGTGTTGTTGACTTTCCCTAACGAGTCATCCATCATCATGGTTGTTGTTTCTGTTGTTTCTCTTGGTTCAGGGACGTAATCCAAATCAATTGGAGATGTTTGCGAAGCAATCTCACGAAACAATTGATACCTATTGCAGACATCCATTTTACATTCCCAGAGTGGCCTCCCCACAAGAAGATAGTAAAGAATCACGCCACAGCTCCACATGTCATTTTTGAATGCGTCAACTTTAACCATATTTTTTTCATCTTCAACATCTTCAGCACAGTAAAAATATTTGCAGACTTCTGGAGAAATATACATCGGGGTCCCCTGATCGTTATACTCTTCCAGGACGCTGCCAAGGTCTGAGATTTTCAATTCTCCGTTGGCAAAAAGAAGAATATTTTGTAGCTTTAAGTCATTATGTGCAAGGCCTTGATTGTGCAGGTACGCAACTCCATGCAGCAGCTGATACATGACACCTCTCACAAAATCGGCGGAAAAAAGGGGAAACACGCTGTCACCCTGTGTAGAGCTAAGTAAGTTCATCTCAGTTTCACCCGCGCTTATGTAACTTGCACACGAAAGATCGATTATCATCTCAGAGCCCGATTTATTATCCGGCAAGATGCTCCCTTGACCAGAAAGAAAAGATGCCCCGGTGTTCGACTGAAGTTGTCTTTGGCGGATTTCATATTGTACGGTTTCCTTCACCAATTGATCCAGATTGCAAATAGCGATGGGAAGAACGACATAATCCTTCCCATACCGTCTAAAAATGTCAATACCACGAATAATATTAGGACAATGAAACCGCTGCAGGTTACAAACTTCGTTTTCTAACATTCGCTGGATCTTTGAACTATGATGGTTTTTAAAATCAGAAATAGGCGTATATGTAACATTTTTTGAAAAAGAAACAGCGGGAGGGAAACTCGCCACAGGGTCATATATTGGATCAGGTCCTGGCGCAGCAGGTCGGCGATACTTGTAACTTTTAATTGCAACGCGCTGAAAACGCGGAGGGAAGACACCATTGGCGGAGGTGTCAATGGCGTCACGAACAACACCAAACACGCCTTCCCCAAGGAGAGGACCAAGAATGTAAGAGCTCACCAATTTTATGTGTTTCCGCCGGTGGTGATTCCCTGCTCCAACCAGTGTCACTGGCATTGGGCTGGGTGTCTTTGCGTTGATTGCAGGGTCAAGTGATTCAGGAAGAGTTCTTGAATTCCTACGATGTTTCAAGTGCTGTAGTTCACAAATTATAGAATATGGTAAATCACCTTGCAAGACCTCCATCGAATACGCCGATTGAGTTGCAGTTTTGTTTCCATCGGTCACAACGACACGCCTTGCGGCATCTTCCGAGTCATGCTGAAAGACGGCGGCTGAGTGGAAGCCGTTGTTGCCATTCGATTCTTGAATGGTGTTTTTGCTCATGGCACCAGGTAGACAATTGAAGAAAGCCGGCAAGGTCTGAACCACAGGCGTGTCAAGAATACGGGAGCCCCCTTTACCTTCTAAGACAACATTTACGGTGGGTTTACTGCACATGTTGGAAGATTCTCCTGAGACCTTGTCCAATCGTTGGAAACCATTTTGGTGTCTATAAGCATCATTGCATCCGTTGTTGGCCGCCACGTTTTCTGCGGGCTGCAATACAGGTTGTTCCAGCGGACGTCGCACTTCTCCCCTTCGCGCCTCTTGCGGCAGTTGCCGTGTATCGGCACCATTTATAAAAATCTCCGGCGATCCTGCCTCTTTTGCCACTAATGCAGGTTCGTTACGAAAATCCCCCTTCTTTTTTAAGGGCATTGAGAAACGTGCGTCGCCAGAAAGCCCCGGCTCGAAAGGCCCATTCTCATCAGCACACATTTTTTCGCAAATCTCTCTTTCTGACGCGCTGTTCGAGCAACCCAATAAATTCCGAGTCATCCTCGACTTCACCTCGCTTTTGCCTTGTTGGCCGTTTTGGATCGTCTGGGGGGCAGCGGCCTCCACGGCGGCTGCAACGTCCTCTTCCCTCCGTATAACTCCCAACCTACTTTGGTTCCTTGTATCCATCAAATGCGGTGTATTTATAGCGGGCACTCGGCGTAAAATTGTGTTCCGTCGTCACAGTGTCTCTGCAATAGAGTGAGGGAACGCCAAAAGTATGCGCCGCAACAAAGAAGAAAAGTTCCTCAAGAAAGAAACAAACAAACAAAGAGCCCTGCTAGCACTCCTGTATGACTGTCCACCTCCCCGATGCTATATATATATTTGTATATATAGAAACTGTGGGGAATGCTTTTTTTCCTTCCGCTCCCTTTCTCTATGTATGTTTTGTTTCCCCCCTTGCAAGAATGCAAGTAAGCCACAAGGAAGAAAAAGGAAAGCAAAAAAAAAAAAAAAAAATGTGTAAAATAAAAGCAGGCCAAATAAAGTGGAGACTCGCACTTGGGAGGAAGGGGCAGGAGACACCCAACGTTGTGAAAGAAAACAAAAGAGCATACAAGGATACAAAGAGAAAGGAGAGCCACGGATCCTTCCTTTACCACGCGTCACGACAAAATCACTCGGTTGCACTCCCTGACGAGCTCCTTCACGGACACACGGCCGCGCTGTTGAATGAACAGAGCTATTTCACGATAATGCGCCTCGACCACAAAAATGAACTTTCCCCGATCATCGAATACCCCACCAATAACTCCGTCATTAAGCAACTTCTCGATAAGTTTCACCAACAAATCCACCGTGACGTTGTACTCTCGTGCTACGCTACTCAGCACCAGAATACTTCGCGAGGACTCTTCATCTGTTGCAGTAGCCGTTGGAGATGCAGACTTTAACAACTGTTCCGTTTGGTTTTCTTGACGCGCCTCCAATTCCCTCGCTCGTCCCGTCAAGAACGCGAGTAATGCCTCTTGCCGCACCCTTTCCTCATCCCCAATCTCACCACATTCCTCTAAACCAATGGCGCCTATCCACTTGGCGTATTCCTCATCATCTTGTCGCTTCTTCTCGTCACGTAACTCCTGAAGCGCCTTCTCTTCTGCAAGCAGACGCTCCTCCTCATCGCGCTGGTGGTCTTCCTGTCGCTGTCGCTCCGCCTCTTGCCTGGTGCGTCGATTGCTCTCGGCCGCCTCCTGTGCCTGGCGTCGCTCCTCTCGTTCACGGTCCTTTTCCTGTTTCTTCTTTTGCAGCCGCGTGAGTTTTGGTTGTGGTGTCGCCGCCCCGTCATCTGGAGCGCCGTCACCACGTCCCTGTGCCCGTTGCGCCTGGCGGCGGCGCAACAACGCGGCAACCTCCTGTGGGTTTGGCGGCCCATGACGCGCAGTCATACTTTCACCGTCTCCATCATCCTCCGTGTCAGCCTCACTTCCTTTGTGTGCCAGTGACGTCCGCGTTGACCCACGCGAGCTCACGCGAGTTGGCACTACCTGTCGACGGCAAATGAAAACACCCACAAAACATAGAAGAAGCAGCAGCAACAAGAAGGCCCCAATCAATGGGAAAGACATGTGCCCTTTCCTTTATCTTCACTTCTAACAATTCAGGAGACCCACACGCAAAAAAAAAAAATAATAATAATAATAATGGGAAAAGTAATAAAAGTAGATAAATGAAAGGAATCAAACCACTGGACAAAAAAGGATTAAAAGGTACAAAAAAAAAAAAAAAAAAGTGTGTGTAGGAAAGAAGTAACGCAACAAAAAGCCAATGTATTGCTGGAATTATTAAAGGAAAAACTCTCTCCTCGAAGTATACGCCCGTCATCGTTCATTTTCCTCGAAAAAAAATGTGCGTCATATTTCCTTGCCGACCCCCGTCTCAGGCTCACCCCTCATGTCCCCTTCGTGCTGTTTGCGTACGACAACGGATTCCACGATTGGTTAAGTTGCCATGATGCCTCTGGCGACGCAGAAGGGTTTTCTCTAGCGTGCGGCCGACAAAATGTACGTTGTGCAGTAGAGCCGCTGAAGAACTTTTTCTTTTGCAGCGTCGTCCTCACCTTCTCACGCCGATCGTATATCCATAAAGAGGGCTGAACTAACAACGCGGCGGCAATGCCCACTTCCGGTAAGTACTCAAAGCGGTTAGTCTCGAGTGCTCGCATTAACGCAATGGCAACGGCGGCACTCGGCAACACAGTCGTTGGGTCTGGGTAATTTACCGCTAGTAACACATCTGTAAGACCACAGTAATGCATCTCCGCATGTGTTTCAAGGTGGTCAAGTGAAACATTTGTTCTCTGTGCCACCCGCGCAGCGATGTTAAGTACACCTCCGTTGAAGCTTGAGCCACAAATGAGACCACCAGCGCCAGACTTCTCATGTACCCATGCCGGTAAAGTTGGGGCTATCATTTTCTCCAGCAAGCATCGCAGTTCTCTAAACTCCTCACGAAGAACAGGATTGGGACTGCGTCCGTCTTCGGTGTTTTCCGATAAATCTGCACGACGCTGCACTGCTGTAAGCAACAGACGTTGGGCCGCGAAAATATCAACTGGTAGAACGTGTAACAGCAGACCACCCGATACCGGGGTATTGCGTAACACCACAGCATTTTTGCCCTCTTTGTCCGTCACATCCTCCTCTGTTGTGTCCGCAGCAAGAATACAGAGGCCTTTATGGCGATCCTCCGTGATAACAAGCATGCGTTGGGGAGCAATGCACTTGCTCACTGCAGCGTGCGCAAGGAAAGCCAGCTGTTCCAGTTGTTGCCTTGGAGGCACCGCGCAGTGTTCATCGATATTTACATGATGACAATCCTGATTTCCTGTGCTGCAGTGTCGCGTACGCCGCTTCTCCCGTCTACGAACAATTTGTTGCATAAGCAACTGCAAGCTGTCATCATCAGTATTGCTGTGACCTTTTTGAAGGGCGCGATCCTTCACCTCTTTTTTCCGGAGAAGAGTCGCCGCCCCCTCGGTTCCAAACAAGGGCTTTGAAGTATGGCATAAAGTGCTCACATGAAACGTCTTTCCCAATACGCGGACGTCCACCTTGAACTCACGTGTTAGTTCTTCTGCTAAAGAAAGGGCGTCCGCGGCTTCGCACAGCGGCCACGAGACCACAGCAGCCCGTTCACTCAGACCATCGTATTGATCACGACGCAATGCCCCATGTAGCATACGCATTTTGTTTCGAATGTCTGTCCGTGTCTTTTCGCTGAGAATAAAAGTGGAAGGAGGCGTTTCAAATGTACGGGAGGAAAGAACAAACGGACCCGAGGAAGACTCGGCGTTGGCTGACATGAGGTGAAGCGGCAGCGTCGTCTGGTACATGAAGTCGCGCACGGCATTGCGCGCTGCGTCAACGCGTCCAACCGCCATGGAAATCATGCCACCCGTCCCAATGTCTATCGCCGCACGCACAGGAAACGCATTGATGTGTGCATTCTGAAACACCCCAAACGCGTCGGAAACATCATCACCGTTGCCGTTACTACAAGCACCACTGCTACCGCCAGAAAGAGCAGCAGCAGCAGCAGCACCCCGTCCAAAGGCCTTCTGCATCTCCGACCCCTTCATTTTAACAAACATGGCCAAGCAATATATAAAAAAAAGGGGGAGCAGAGTCGGTAAGATCGCATTTTAATGTCAGTCAAAAAAAAAAAAAAAAAAAGTGGGAAGAAAAAGACAACGCAGTTGTAGTGTCCATTATTACTTGTAACACTACTGGAGGAGACGTGGTGTTCCGATTCACCAGAAAGACTCTCTACATGTCTGTTCCCTCCAAAAACTTCTAACGCCAAGAAAAAGGGAAAAATAAACTTCAAATCTTCTGATCCCACGTATAAAGTAAGGAAATAAAACCCCAATAAAAATAACATACCGTTTCTCTGGTTATACGTAAGGATAAAGGATACTGCTGTTATTATTATTATTTTTTTCTTTCCTCGGCACCATCCTTCTCCTTCTCTCTGCTTCACATATGAGCACATCCTGTACATGTGTTTCAGTAAAACCATAAACCTTGTTTCACCGCGTAAGCGCAAAACCTCCACCAACAAACTGCCGTTGTTGTGGACGGAACTGCAGTGGGTAGTTGGGGGCGGGTGCACCGGAGGAAAGCGCCTGAACGAGGCGCGCTTCCTGCAACATGCGTTCCCTACGCATTTGTGTTCGCGTGTGCCACAAACAAGGGCGTCGTGCTCCAACAGGACGCTCTAGCCATACACCCTGCTGGTTGCTACTGTCTTTGCCACTGCCGCCACCACCACTTCCGGCAAGTCGTTGTTTTTGCTGATGGGCAGAGGCCGCTGCAAGAGCGATATTTGCAATTGCCGAAGATTCCCCCCATGTTGAACGAAACACGGCCTGTTCACGACGCAAAAGATCGTTCTTGTGTTTTGCGCCAAAGTAACGCCTTTTCGCATCACCTAATTCCAATGAAAGCTGCCTTACCTCCTCCTTGAGCACGTCGGCATGCTGCTCAACTTCTTGAAGCTCTGCGTTCATCCCTTCGATCTGTTCTTCACGCCGCTCTAAATTTTCTTTGTAGAGGCTCAAATCTTCAGCCAATTCCGGGCCCGGCAAAGAGGCAAGCTTCCGCCGAATAGCATCATACTCCGCCGTGCGCTTCGCCAGCAGCTGTGTTTTCTCAGCAAGCATGTCGTGCTTCTTTAAAATCTGTCGCTCAAGAGCCTGTGCCTTGTAGATGCCATCAAGCACCTCCGGGGCATCACCTTCCAGTCGCCGCCAACGATGGACATGAACTGGACGTTGGAGCTCGTCTACAAGCGCTCGGCACCGTTGCTGTTCAGTAAACAGTTCTTGCTCAATACTCTGCTTCCGGCTCCGCAGTTTCTCGGAATAGCGAAGACGTACAAGAGCAAGACGACATCGCAGCCGCAGCTCAGCAAGTCCATCACGGGTAGCTACGATATTCCGCACTTGCCGATCGTATTCACTAGCGCCCTTTTCAATAGCGCTTTCTTGAAGACGAATCTTACTGTAAAGAAGCCTAAGTTCTTCATTGCGGCGGATCAACTGCGTGGCAAGGACATTCCGTTCATTGACAAGAGCCGCAAATTTGGATTGGTACTTGCTTTTCTCCGCATCACACTCTGAAATGAGATGAGTAAGTTGGTGCGCCTCGTTCTCCAGTGCTTCACGACGTGAGTGGGCGTTAAGGACATCATCCTTCAAATGACTTGCCCGCTGCTCGGCGTTGGAAATGTCCCGCTGTAGTTGCCGACGGACCATATGGAGACGGCAAAGTGCTCCCTCCTTTGCGACAAGCTGCATCTTAAGTAACTGAATTTCCTCATCGTTGGTTACATACCGCTGCCTAAGCATAGACCACTCCATCTCGCTCTCTTTAAGTTGCTTTTCAGTACGTGCTCGGTCTGCCGAGACGCGGTCAAGCAAATCCTGCTGCACTTTATGTCGTTTCTCATTATCAGTGAGTTGCTGTTCCAGTAGACGCGCTTTATCGCAGTATTTTCTTGTCTGCTCAACTGTTTGGTGGTATTGCAGCGCCATATGCTGACCATGATCGAGTATCTTTGCGTGACTTTGCTCCAGCTCAAAGACGGTCTTGCGAAGCAGCTCGTTTTCGCATAAGAGCTGGTCTAGTTGTAGGGCCAAGTTGTGCCGTTTCCCTTCTTCCTCCACCTTGTTTCCCTCCATCGCCACACGCTCATTCTCCGTGCGAGAGTTATTCACAATCAGCTCTGTCTTCTCCGGGATGGTTTTCTTGAGTCGCAGCTCCTGCAAGTGCAACTCCTTTTCCTCCGCCTCCAGCACAAGCAGCTGCTCTTCAATGGAGTTATGAAGCTTCTCCGTTTTCTGAACAAGGTCCTCTCGTGTCTGAACCACCCTCCGCATATTCACCTGCTGCTCCTCTGCACTCTTTCGCACCTTCCGCAGCGCATTGGCAAGGCGCACGACTTCCGACTGTCGTTCCTTCAGTGTGGCCTTGAGTTTGGGGATCTCTGATTTGACCTCCGCATTCTGCGCCTCTGCAACGGCCAGTCGATCCGCCTCCGTCTTGAACCGACGCTGCTGTTCCTCCAGCTGCTTCGCCATGCGCGCCACGGCATCACGCTCCTCTGCAGCAAGAACCTTCAAATGACTTTCCTCGGCAGAAAGCCCCTCTGCAGCGGCCTTCCGCTCCTCCGCCTCCACCATTTGCCGGTCAGACGTCGCACGACACTCTCGCACCTGCTGCTCAAGGCCCTCACGCACCCGTTGGACATCGGAAAGGCTGTCAAGAAGTGTTTGATAGCTGGATAAACTGGCCTCAAGCTGTTGTCGGGCCATCTCATTGTCATGTTGCACCCTTTCAAAATTGCTTCGCATCGCCTCACGTTCATCTAAAAGTTGGGAAACTTTTGAATGCGCGACTGCACGCTCGCCCTCAAGCTGCTTCTTAGCAAGAATGAGCTCACGCAGGTATGCCGCCTGACTCACAGTGTTCCGCGTGCTTTTTTCAACAAGAGCATCCAGCTCTGCCACTTGTTTGCGCAACTGTTGGATGTGTTCGCGACCCTCCTTTTCACGTGCGTGAGCACTATCGGCAAGAGACCACGCCTTTTCAATCTCTTTACGCAATGTTGCAATGACTTCCTCATCCTCCTGCGATAGTTTCAACGCGGCCTCCACTTTGGTGCCATGCACCTCAAGGTCCATTTGCAATTCCTTGATCTTTGCCAACAATCGCTTTTCGCCGTCGTTGCTCTTTCGCAGAAGACGATGGATCTTTTCATACTCATCTTTAAACGGCTCAAGTTGCGGCTCCATAGCAAGTTCCTTCAACACCTCTACATAGTGATGCTCAATGCTATCAAGGGAGACAACAGTGTAGTGTGCTGTGTCGGGTGAGGCACGACCGTTACTCCCATCTTTATTTTTCTCATCCCCCTGCTTCATCGTGTGCTTTCGGCTACGCCTCCTCCTTTTTTTCCCGTACTCCGCACTTCCGTGTGTGTATATTTGGCTATGTGCCTCCCTAATACACCACCTCCCTGCACTTTCTTCTGCGTAGAACGATATACACACCTCGGCGTGCACCCATGCAAATATATGCATATATAGATAGGGAGAAGTGCATGCATTGATTTGGACAAATAAGAAAGGAGAAAAAAAACATGCGAACACACACGGACACACAAAGAAAATTGCTGCTTGAAAGAACAAACAACACAAAAGGATGGTACACAAGGAGTGCGAGAAAAAACAAAAAACAAAAAAAGAACAGAGAAAAAAAATGGAGAATATTCGCCTGGGCCGCTGGCCGGATCCTGGAATTGTCTAAGAAAAATCAAACAAGAATAAAAAAAGGGCGTAAGTGGAGAGGCACCAAATTCCCCTCAATGCCTTCTTCCAATATATATATATATATATATTCGGATGACCACTCAAGTGGCCTTTTGCACTTTGTTAGGATCAGAAATATTATTGCCTACAAAGTGGCAGACTTTGGGGTGTCTCCCAGCCACAAGACCCCGCCACGAGGAGGCGGGAAAGCAAAAAATAAAAATACACAAATAATTTCGTCCTGCCAATGTCGGTTCCCTGTTCCCGCTAAAGTCGTGGTCTTCCAAACAGTCATAAAATAGGGGAAAGTGGCGTAAAGAAATGCATTCATTTTATCAGGGAATAATAATAATAATTACGGCGACCAGCTTTCCCCTGCGATCACTCTCCTAACACGCTCCTAAAGGTGGAAAGAATATAAAAGCATAAAGGAGGCCCTATCCCTTCTCCCCAGAAAAAAGGAAAAGGACACAACAATTGGGGAAGCCATTTTGGTTCAATGCGCCCAAGATCCACACACACACACACACATGCCAAAAAGAGCAGTCATCCAAGACCCACATAAACGCAAATAAATAAATTCATGAGTTCTGTTTTATGGCGGCCGGGTGGATCGAAACCCCCACAGGACGGCATTCTTTAAAAGTCCCCTGCAACCGCCGGAGTCCACTCTGCGCGGGGAGTAGTAGTAGTAGTGGTAGGCGGGATAAACAAAGGAAACTACCGTCAATACCGTGCAGCGCGCAGCACCATTGAAAACTAAATTAATTAATGCACAACGAAATGCCGTAGTCAAACACGACGCGCTACGAAAAACCTGACCCTATCTGAGCACACCTGCTTTCCGAATGCTTCTACGCATTCGCTGAGTTCAAAGAGAAACAGGGGCCGCGCCAACAAATCCTTTGCCCATAACCACAGCTAAACAAAGCAGGGCGCGTCGATATGTTCTGAAGAAAGATTTCATCCATTCTCCCGCACACCTCCTTCCCACAACATCGCCACATTCTCTTCCTCTATTGCCTTCTTTTCCCTTAAAGAGGGCAGAGGGGTTTAGTCAATATCCGAGAGCCTTTGCCGAGGGCGCTGAGGCAAGAACATCTCGCCGTTTAAAACCGTTGGTGTGTCAGGAGCGCCCTGCGGCATGTCACGAACATCCCGATTTCGACGGCTCTCCTGGAAGAAAGAATCGTTTCTGCTCGGCTGTCCATCGTCGTCGTGTCCGCCCTCAACTCCCTTCTCGCCACCGGAATGCGCTTCACTCCCCTGTTGCTCGTCATTTCTTTCCGTCGCCGCATCGCCGTGGGGCGAGTTGCTCGCCTCGCCATCCTCAGTCAACAGGAAAAAACACACGAAGCAAAAAATCATCAACGTAGAAAATAAAAAGGACCCGAGAAGAACATACACCGGAATGAGGGCCGCATAGAGTGAAAAAACATCCCCAGCAGCACCGTGACGGGCACGGTCCAAGTCGTTTAGCCGCCTAGATACCATTGAAACCGATGCAAGGACAAGGCCAACAGCAATAATGAACGGGATAGATACGAAAAAAATATTGCAGCTGCCCGCAGAATTTCCTCGTAATTTTTGGATGAAAATTCGGTACAAAATCGAGTCAAGAAGTGTCAGAACACCAAAGGCGTAGAATGGCAGTGGCAAAACCACAAAGTAATTTGCCGCAATGACCTCGTCCACGCGACACGCAATAAGAGCGCTGAATACCACCACAGAAATCCCTTTAAGAATGCCCACAACAAAAAAGACATTCACGTACGCCCACAGTTCGTCGTGTCCGCTATCCTTTAGTCTTTCACGCTTTTGCCTCGTGGGGAGCCTTGTAATGGTACCCAATAGAGTTGACGACGCCACAAATGAAAATTATTGCCGCCACGCAAAAATGTCATGTCGTTTGCATCCTTGGCAACAGGCAAAAGAACGGTGAGTACAATAAGAGAAAGTATGATCAGCGTCCACGAGAAGACTCCTACACGTAACGTGCACATCGACACAAAAAAACAACCAGCGTTGGAATACCGACAATGATGTCAACAATGAACAGCGGTGAAAAGACCTTGACGTAGTTCCAATAGGCTCGACTGTGGTTGTTCACAGAATGAGCGTCCCGCGCCACAAGACGACCCGCAACATATGCGACAAGAAAAGCAGTAAAAATGACAACCAACGATGCTGCTAAAAAAGGTATGCATGCCATAATGCACAAAATCAAACGTCCCCCAAGCTGGAGAATCAGCACTTCCGAGACCGGATTATCCACAAATCTGGCTCCAAACCTGTCGTATATTTTCCTCTTTTGGGGATTCAAGAGCACCTCGTACGCCGACTGTACCTCCTTGAGCCTCTCCGCCCCCTCCGGTCCCGCCCTATCAGGGTGAAACCTTAACGCCAGCTGGCGGTAGTTCCTTCGGATTTGCTCCTGCGTCGCATCGCGTGGGAGTTCAAGACTCTGATAGTAATCCGTCATTTCTGTCCTTTCCAAATCCTACTCCTTCTGCTGCGATCACCCAACAACGCGCAAGGAAAGTAGCGCACATGATTGACACCCCGATTCCTTCCCCTCCTCTCCCTCAAAAGGAGGAAGCACAACAACGGTAGGAAAAAAAAAACCACAAGCATCACAGGCAAGAGCGCCCCAAATTTCAAAAAATAAATCACAGAAAAAACAAAAGCCAAATTGCCGTGACGACAAAAGCAAAAGCACACAAACAAAAAAAGC